ATGGGCAGTTCCTGTCCGGAGGCGAGATGAGAAGGCAAAAAGGGACAGGAGCTGGAGGAACGGACACGGGGAAATCCGGGATGGAGAGGAGTGTGCTGTCACACTATAGGGGAGCAACTAGGGTCACAGAACAATGTGTGTATACATTTTTGTATAAGAAACTAACTTGAACTCTAAACTTTCACTTAAAGCACAATTAAAAAAAAAGAAAACTAGCTTTCTCCTAAGGTCTTTAAAATATCTATGACTGTTGGAAGAAAAATTATAACACTGTCTGGTGGGGTTTTCGACGTACACAGATGTAATACATAGGACGACTATACCAGAAAGGAGGGGGAAGTAAAGGAACATATATGGCTATAAAGCTCCTATATTTTACTTGAAATGGTAAAATATTAACTCTAAATAGATGGTGAAAGATTAGGTAGTGAATTATATACCTAAGAGCAACCACTTAAAAAAAAAAAAAAAAAAGACAAAAGCTGAAATTAAAAATTAAAATGAAATATTTAATAATATTCATATAATCCAAAAGAAGGCAGGAAAGGGGCAACAGAGGAAAAAAAGACAGAGCAAACTGGAGGCAAACAATTAAATAGACCTAAATCCACCAACATCCATAATTATATTAAATGCAAATGGTCTAAACATACCAAATAATAGACAGGTACTGTGAGACTGGAGAAAAACACAAGACCCAACTATTTGCTGTCTAAAAGAAGCCCACTTTAAAGATAAAGACAAAAACAGCTTAAAGTAAAAAGAAATCTACACAAAACCTGTCCACTAATGTTCATAGTAGCATTATTTCATAACAGCCAGAAAGCAGAAACAATTTAAATGTCCATTAACAGACGTTTAATAGATAAACAAAATGTGATGTATCTACTCAATGGAATATTCAGCAATAAAAAGGAAAGAAGTACTGGTGCCTGCTACAACAGAGATGGCCCTTGAAAATATAAAGCTAAGTGAAAAAAGCCAGTCACAAAAGACCACATACTGTACAATTTCATTTATGTAAAATATCCAGAATAGGCAAATCTGGAGACAGAAAGCAAACCAGTGGTTGCCTGCAACTGGGGTGAACTAAAATGGGGAGTAACTGCTAATGGGTATGGGATTCATTTTGGGGTCTTGAAAATACTCTAAAATTAGACTGTGGTAATGGTTGAATAACTCTAAAGCTGTAACAACAACAAAGAAGGAAAAAGATATATCATCCAAACAGAAAGCTGGAGCAGCTATATTAATATCAGACTAACTAGATTTCAGAACAAGGAATATGACCAGGGATAAAGGGGAACATTATATAATGATAACAGGGTCAATTCTAAAAGTGTATGTACTTAACAATAGAACTTCAAAATATATGACACTAACTTGATGGAACTGAAAGAATAAATAGACAAATTCACAATTAAAGAGGCTTTAAAAGTCCTCTCCGTAATCACTACAAGTAGAGAAAAAATCAGCACAGATACATAAGACCTGGACAGACTAGCCATCAACTTGACCTAACTGACATTTATAGAATATTCTACCCCAAAACAGCAGAAAACATTTTTTTTTTTTAAGTTACACATGGAACACTCATCAAGACAGACCACATCCTGGGCCATAAAACAAACCTCAACAAATTTAAACGAGTTGAAATCATGTAAGTTATCTTATCTGAACAAAAGAGAATTAAACAAGAAATCAGTAACAGGGAGATATTCCCAAACATTTACTAATTAAATCATACTTCTAAGTAACTCATGGGACAAAAAGAAGTCACAAGAAAAATCAGAAAATATTTTAAACTAAATGAAAACACAACATATCAAAATTTATGGGACGCAACTAAAACAGTGCTTAGAAGTAAGTTATAGCATTAAATGTTGATATTAGAAAAGGAGACGGGTCTAGAAACAGTGATCTATGCTCTCACCTTAAGAAGCTAGAGAAAGTTAAACCCAAAGCAAGTAGAAAGAAGGAAATAATAAAGAACAGAAAATCATTAAGAGAGAAAATCTATGAAACCAAAAGCTGGTTCTCTGAACAGATCAGTACAATCAATAAACTTGTAGCCAGACTGACCAAGGAAAAAAGAGAAGATACAAATTAACAATATCAGGAATGAAAGAGGGGAGATCATTACAGCCCCTAAGCCATTAAAAAGATAATAAAAGAATGCTACAAACCCACAAACTCCTCAACTTAGATGAAATGGACCAATTCCTCAATTCCTTGAAAAATAAAAACTACAAAAACTCACTCAAAGAAATCAAAGACCTAAATTAATGGATAAATATACCATGCTCATGGATTAGAAGACTCAATATTAACATGTTAATTCTCCCCAAATTGATCCACAGGTTCAGTGCAATCCTAGTCAAATCCCAAAAACTGATTCTCAAATTTATATAGAAAGTCAAAGGAACTAAAATAGCTACAAGAAGAACAAAGTTGGAAGACTCACATTACCCAATTTCCAGACTTACTATAAAGCTACAGTAATTGAAATAGTGTAGCATACACTAATGGACAAACACACAGATTAACAGAACAAAATACAGCCAAGAAATAAACCTACACAAATATGGTCAGTGGAATTTTGGCAAAGGTGCAAAGGTTTAATCTTTTAAACAAATGGCAATGGAACAATTGGACATTCATATGAAAAAACGAAAAAAAAAGAACCTTGACCTATATTGCAATGCAGTGAATTACTTAATATGGCCCTTCTTGCCATGCACGGTTTTGTGACTCACACACGATGACTGGGTGGGACAATGCAGATAAGATGCTTGTGGCCCACCAAGGGGATTGGACAGCTTGCTGCTAATGCAATAAGGTGCATGGGACCCTTGTGGAGGTCGGACCACGGAAATAACGTGTATGGAACCCTAATGAGAGGATTGGTCAGTTTTGTCATCATGCTACGCTTAAAAGAGCCCATCCCAGAGCAGAGGGGGGGACCCCACTAACATCTAGAAAGAAGAGCCAGAAGTAGGGCGTGTCCTTTGGATCTGGGGTCCCTGCACTGAGAATCTCCTAGACCTAGGAGACAGAGAGAGCTGTAACCCCGGAGACGGTGCAAGACTGTGAGAAGCAGCAGCAGAGAAACAGTGATAGATGGTGCAATGGGCTTCCTGGCCCACGGAGCAAGGTGGCTACAGTGGGTGTGCCAAGCCATGGAGGGAGAGAGCTGAAAGTCTTCAGGCAGGAGGCTTCCTGGAGGAGAAGGGTGCCTCCAGGCACTTCTCAGCAGAGCTAAGAGTTTGTAACACTTGCCCAAGCAGGGCAGAGGCCAGGTCCAAGCTGGGCCAAGGGCCGAGGGCTGACAGAGGAGGCCAGACCTGAGTGGGCCGAGGGAGCCCTGCACAGCCAAGAGGAGCTGAGAGCGCTGTCCTGCACAGAAGAAGGGAGACTTTGCCTACATGATTTCTAATCCTGATCCCGAGTTGTAACCTGTTACTTCCCTAATAAACCTTATAATCATGAGTATTGTCTGTGAGTTCTGTGTGACCACTGCAGGAAATCATTCAACCCAGCAGAGAAGTAGCAAGTGCCGCAAGAGGAACGGCTGGTGTCAGAATTGTTAAAAAGTTTGGAGAGAGGAGGTATGCCTGACCTCCACCCTCACAGGATCAGCCTTGGGCTGCTGCTGATCTTGAGGAAGTTAGAAGTTAGACAAGGAGGTCTGGAGCCGCCACACGATTATTACACATACCTTATACAAACATTAACTCAAAATGGATCATACGTGGATCTAAATGTAAAATATAAACCTATAAAACTTCAAGATGAAAACACAGGCGAGAAAATCTTTATGACCTTCAGTTAGACAAAGATTTCTCAGATACAACACCAAAAGCACAATCCATACAAGAAATAATTGATAAATTAGACTTTTTCAAAATTAAAAACTTTTCTTCTATAAAAGAGACTATCAAGAGAATGAAAAGCCACAGACTGGAAGAAAATATTTGCAAATCACATATCTGACAAAAGGTTGTATTCAGAATACATAAAGAACTCTTATAACTCAATAAGACAAATCCAGTAAAAAAAAGGGGGGGGGACAAATGATTTGAAGAGACTTCAGCAAAGAAGATATACAGGTGGCAGATAAGTACATGAAAAGATGCTCAACATCATTAATCATTAGAGACGGCAAATTAAAACCAAAACGAGCTATCATTATACACCTATTAAAACAACTAAAAAACAAACCAACAGCAGCAAAGCTGACAATACCAAGTCTGACTAAGTGCAGCTGCACCTCATACACTGCTGGTGGCAATGCCAAATGGTGTAACCACTCTGGAAAACAGCGTGGCAGTTTCTTATGAAGTTAAACACACACTTAGCATGTAAACTAGCACTCCCACTCCTATGTATTTACCCAAGAGAAACAAAAACCTATGTTCCCACAAGACTCTGTACATGAGCGTTTACAGCGGTTTTATGCCTAATTGCTAAAACCTGAAAACTCGTGAACAGATAAACTAACTGTGGTACATATATCTATACAATGAAATATAACCGAGCAATAAAAGGGAACAAACTATTGATAACTGAATCTGAAATGCACTATGTTAATCCAAACTCAAAAGGCTACTTACTCTATGATGCCATTTATATGACATTCTGGAAAAGGCAAAACTGTAGGGCTGGAGAATAGATCAGTAGTTGCCAGAGTCTGGCAGTGAGAGTAGGTGTTGACTACAGAGGAACAGCACAAGAAAATTATTCTAGGGAGTGAAGAAGCTATTCGGCATCTTGATCTTGGTGGTTACTCGACTCTATTAATTCGTCAAAACTCATAAAACTGTACAACAGAATGAATTTTAATGTATGTTAAATAAAAAATTGAAACTGTCTTAAAAAAAATTGTATAGTAACTAAGTAAACTTGCCAATGCATTGAAGAGCATTTTATTCAGATGTAAAAAAGCTCATTTATTACTGTTAGTTATAAAGAGTTAAGACATGCTCAGAGAAGCAGTTTACCGGTGCCGGGACTGCAGTTTTTCCAGCGGTTCAGCCTTCCGTTGAAGCCCTTCCTGAAATATCGTATCTGCTTTCTTAAAGTTTTCTCTAGCTTCATATTCTTCAGCCCACGAGATATAGAACTGAGCGAGTGAAACGCCAATCCCTTGGTTGTGTAAATAACTGTACATGTCCAAAGGCTCATTGCATAAACGCCCCTATAACAAATTTAACATGTTAACAGTGACTATGACGTGCCAAACAATCACTATCACTGGAGATACTGTATGCAGTTTCTGCATTAAAGAAAATATATCTATTACAATCAAATGTGAAAAACACTATACGGAGAGGACCTGAAAAAGAGACAGAAGTGAGAGATTAATTTGTGAGAAAAGGAGATGGGGAGGAAAGCCTTCTAGAAGAGGGGACATTTGAGCTTGGCCTGAAAAGGAGAAACCGATTTTCACCCCTGGAGAATGGGAAGGGAAGGGAAGGGCATTCTAGGCAGAGCAAACAGCATTAGCAAAGACAGAGAAGGCTGAAAGGACGCACAGGCAGGCAAGACCTAAGTCTGGAGAAGAAGGTGTGACAGGTCTTCAATGTCGAGCTAACGGTTTTGAATTGGCCTGGGAGTCAGTGTACATGTGTTGGGGTAGGACAGCTATAAGCAAAGAAATGACCTGATTAAATCTGCTGGCATGTTACTCTCCTTCCTCCCCGAGGATAGTTCTGTTCTGTCCAGTTACGATACCTGCATCACCTAGCAAGGCTTTTCCGCAAACAAAGGTTCTGCAGCCATCTGTGGGTGCCTCTACCCCCTCTCTACAGCTGCATGGACCAATTATACTTAAAATAAATAAACAAATAACCCACGACCCATGGCGAGATATACAGCCCTTGTGACCAATTTTAAAGGGGTAAAAACTTTATTACACTATATTTAAGTCCATCTTTAAAGAAGAACCAATTTAACAAATATTGAGTATTTACTAAATGTTTAGTATCTACTAAATGGCTCCAGTTTTTGCCATTTTTAATTGTACCAGATACCACTAGAGAAAATATCTTCATCTAATATTTTAAACTCAGATGGCACTCGAGAAAGACTCACCAATTTAAGCCAGAGATTAAGAAATCGAGGATCACTATAATATCGTTCTTGTCCTTGTAGTGCTTCTACCGCTCTTTCTAATAATGTTGACATGTTACTCTCCTTCCCCCCGTGAGGATAGTTCTGCTCTGTCCAGTTAATATACCTGAGTGGGAAGAAAAGGAAAAGAATATTTTAAAACTAAACATGTACTTTTATTCTTGCTCTAAGACCCATTCTGGATTTTCTTAAGCAGACATATCTAACATGTTTAAAGTATATTTATTTAGATGTCTTCAGTGATATGCTTTAAGTCTGTATCCCTCAAACTTTTCCAAAGTGTCTCCAGCATATGCCTCTGGGAAATCCTGGGGACAGGAGTGGAAGGGTGCAGGTCAAAACTGCACACCACAAACTAGAAACTTCTTCATTCTTGAACATCTCAGGAAGACACACTGTGATTATTCTGGTGCTCTGTGCCCCCAAGACAATCCTTACCACTCTGACACATTGCTCCATCCACCCCAGCTTGAGAAGCAGGATCACAAGGACTCATGTGTTAAGTTTCTGTTGCCCTTTTTAAGTAAAAAGACCTACCTATCCCAAACATCCAGAGGGTCATTTCCAGTGTAAAATCGAATTTCAGATTCAAATGCCCTGAAAGTTAAACAGAAAATGTTGGCAAATGCAATAATGACAAAAGCCGGATGAACAAAGACCACCTCCACTTTCATTCATTCATTAAGTGTTTACTATCAATCTAGAGTTTGAGGGTTTATACAACAAGAACAGAACAGAAATAATTAGGATTCTTTGAGTAACCAGATAAAATAACAGGGGGAACAAAACATGTAGAAATTAGATAAAGGAATTCAAAGACAACATACAGAAAAGCAGTATTACACAGCAGTTGAAAGCTCTGGAACAAGACTCCTTATGTTCAGATCCCAGCTCCACCGATCACTAGCTAAGGGATGCTGGACAGTTTCCTTATCTGTAAAATGGGGATAAGAATAGTACCTATCTTTATTAGGTTGATCAGTGTTAACTGTAAGTGTTTAGAACAGTGTCTTGTATATAGAAAGTACTCGGTAAATGATAACTATTATTTTACATGTACATGATCACGTCGGACAAACTACACATACACGAAAAATATATAGAAATATTTAGAATCTTAAAGACAAATGCCATGGGTACGATTAGTTAGAGAATAATAAGACCATATACAATCTGGGGAGTGCCTTAAGGAAAGTGTAAAATATGACTTTGTAAAGAGTCAGAGAAAGACAGAGAGCTAAGAGACTAAGACTGAGCGGTAAGAATAGAGGAGGAAGTATTGTAATAAACCACAACCTGAATAAATGATCCATCGGCAAAAACTGCATTAAGGGGCTATGCCTGGTATAAAAAAAAAAAAAAAAAAGATAACATAATCCCTGACACAAAGGAACTTATATTTAATACGACAAGATACACAAATGGAAAATTAACAATACAAAGCAGTATAGTATATTACAACGCCAAGAATGAAGAGTAGAGGCTGGAAGAAGTCAGAAGGACGTGTCATAGAAGCAGCCTCAGAAGGTGGGACTCTGAAGGAAGGAAAGGGGAGCTTTCTAACAAGAGAGGGAGAACAAGACTGAATCAAGTCATGAAGGTGGGAGAGTTTGTCCAGAGGAACTCGAGGGAACCATAAACTGTAGCATAAAGTCAGGATTAGAGGAAAAAATGGAGACATCTGGAGACGTAAGGACATTGCTATGGATTATGCTCCCCCAAAATACGTGTTGACTTTCTGGCCCACATACCTGTGGGTGTGATCCTGTTGAGAACCAGAGTTCTTTTGTTATGTTAAGGAGGCCATACCAAACCTAATGCTTCTGAGTTATAAAAAGAGCAGAAGAGACACGGACACGCACAGGAGGAAGAGGAAAATAGACAGTGGAGACAGACGCATCTATATGCCGAGAAACACCAAGGATTGCCATGGGGGCAGTGGTGGTTCAGTGGTAGAGCTCTCGCCTTTCATACAGGCTACCCAGGTTCGATTCCCATCCAGTGCACCTCATGCGCAGCCACCACTAGTCTGTCAGTGGAAGCTTGTGTGTTGCTTTGATGATGAACAGTTTCATCAGAGCTTCCAGACTGAGATGGACGAGGAAGAAAGGTCCGGTGATCTGCTTCTGAAAATCCAACGAAAACCCTATGGATCACAAGAGTCCCATCTGCGATCAATCATGGGGGTGGCACAGGACTGGGCACTGTTTTGTTCAGTTATGCATGGGATCATCATGAGTTGGGGGCTGACTCAACAGTAGCTAACAAGGACTAGAAGCTGAAATAGACAAGGAAGGGCCTCCCCTTAGAGCTACCCCCTGAATTTGGACTTCTAGCCTCCTGAACTGTGAAAAAATAAATTTCTGTTCTTTAAAGCCACCCACTTCTGGCCCTTCTGTCATGGCAGCACTAAGTAACTAATACAGAATGCTTCAAATGTCAATTCAAAGACCCAGCAATTCCATTCCTGGTATTTATCCAAAAGCAATGAAAACCTATGCCCACAAAAAATCTCGTATAAGAATATTCATAGCTGCTTTATTCACATTAGCACAAAACTGGAAAGAATCTAAACATCCATCAGTTGGCGAATGGATATACAAATGGAGTACTACTCAGCAATAAAAAGGAACCAACTACTAATATACACAACATGCAGAAGCCTCAAAAATATGCTGGGTGGAAGAAGTCAGACACAAAAAAGTAGACACTAGATGATTCCATTTATATACAATTCTAGAACAGGCAAAAGTAATCCATGGTAATAGAAATGCGATCAGTGGTCGCTTTGTGAGGGCATGGGGACTGATTGGAAGGGGGCATGACAGAGCTTTCTAAGGTAATAGAAATGTTCTGTCTTGAAATGCATGTCAAAACTGGTTAAACAGTACACTTACAAATTTGAGCATTTCACTGCGCGTGAAGTATACTTAAAAAAAAAAGTCAGTTCTTAGTGACCAACTACATAGAATTCGGGTGAGAGAGCAGGGAGTAAGACAACTGCAGGTGACTTTTGGTACCAAAACGGAGAAGCAGAAAAAGGAAGCCCATTTATGGGAGAAGAGATTCGGTATTTAATAATCTAATACAGTAAGTGAAACATTTCTCTAAGTCTATGTCACAGGCAGATAAAAACACACCGAGAAGGCAACGAAGACATGTAAATAGTAGTTGGACGATCCTGGAAAATGGGAATATGGAAGAAGAACAGAAGGCAAAGGACAGAGAATGAGGTAAAATGCAGTAGAAACTAACAATAAAAAAGGGAAATTAGAGAAGTGGAAAAACATAGATTGTCACAGAACCCAGGAAGAAGAGTTTAGAACACCATTACCTCTGAAACAAAAGAATAAAACCCAACGCTCTTAACCATCCAATGAGAAGGACAAGGGTATTCATTGTATTATAACCTGTCTCTAGTGGCAGAGACTGAGGGCTGGAAACGAGACTCTATACTACTTAAAAAAAAAAAAAAAAAGGCATTTTTATCAAAACATATATTAGGCAAAGGACAGCAAGTTCTGTAGGTTCATTTGAATAATGTAAGACTATTTTTCAGCCTTTCTTTATCCAGAGAGTGTGTTAAATCAATACTGAAAAATGTTCTAGTATAAATCCAATTTCTCTGAGGTTTACATTACCTTTGGAGGCCACTATTTCTTTTCTGGCATATTCTCAAAGACACTTCCCTAGCTAAAGTGACAACAGCAACTCGAAAGATGAGATAGGAACCTTAGGGGCAGTGAGTTCATGTTAATGGCGGAGGAATAACTCAGAAAAGGAGGGTGAGCAGAGCTGACAACTCAAAGTATGTGATCAATGTCACTGTACTGCACATCCAGAAACGGTCGAACCGGTGTATGTTTTGCTCTGGATATTCTCAACAACAACAAAATATAAAAAAACCACTGACTGGCAAAGGTGGTGTTATGTTTATTTTTACAACAATAAAAAAATCATGGAAAAAAATTTAAAAAAAAAACTGTCCTGGAAAGTTAACAATTGAGTACACATGAAAGACAGCAGATTAACTCTCCCTTAGTACTCAGAATCCAAGAAAGCAATCTCTCCAGTTGATCACTACAAGAGTTACGTCTGTTTCGGGGTCTAGAATGACTTGTTCATGACTATGCTTATCATTGTCCCCTGTATAAGATGCATTTCTATTGATACAAGAGTTTGGCTGCTCCACAATGAAATTAAATCCTACAGCTCATATTCTTAACCACACTTGAGAAGCTCTTTACATAGCTGTTGTGTGAAGAGAAAGCAGGTGGGGAACAGATTTACTTGCTGCCAGTTTGTGAAGAGCACCCCTCATGCCATCTGGCGTGGATCCACACCTACATTATCTGCACAGCTGGGATGGTGACAGGCTGAACCCCAACCAGTCTACACACCGTTTCTGCTGCTGAACGGCCGTGTTCCAGGTACATTCCTGCTGTGCCAGCGCTCCCTGAAGTGTGGACATGATCCGCCCCTGCCTTAAGGGTTGTACATTTTCCTTACTCAGCTCCCATTCATCGCCATCCAATGACACAGCTTCACTGTGAAGAGGGAAATAAAAGTAAATCTCACACCAACACGGACTTACTATAGCACCAAATTATTGTAAATGTGTTCAGACAGGTGATTATTCAGGATCTCTGAGTTGAATACAGGTGAGTGGATGTGTTAGTGGTGGTGTCATACACCTGAGTTCTGAGCCTTTCTGTCACCTGGTTTCCAGGTTAGTGGCCGCAGTCTTGGCTGATGGAAGAGAGAACTTGGTAAGGGTATTGTGGACAGTACTGTAAGACTACAGTTTAAGGCAGGAAGAAGGAAAAAGCGTTATAAATTTGGCAAAGGAGACTAAAAAGCAGCAGTTCTATGCCTACCATTGAAAGCATCACCAACTTTAATTTAAAATTACCACGAGTGCTGGTCAGACTAGCACCCCATGTTGCAACCGATAACTTGAAACTGAAGTTTGTGTATACACATAGCCCAGGGCAGAAGCAGGCAAAAGTACAGTTCACGGGTCACGGCTGCCCCCCTCCCAATTCTATCAGGTCCACTGGGGAATCCTCACAAAACTTCAGGGCAGAGGCAATCACCATTATGGTTATGTACGCTGTACTTTGGAGTCCCTGGGGTGATGCAAACAGTTACTGCACCCGACTGCTAACCGAAAGGTTGCAGGTTCGAATCCACCCAGAGACACCTTGGAAGAAAGGTCCTGGAAAAATCTGCCACTAAAAACCCTAGGGAGTACAGTTCTACTCTGACGCACATGGGGAAACCATGAGTCAGAGTCAACTCGACAGCAATTGGCACTCTGTACTTCAAAGTTCTGCAGTGGTCAGACAGAAGTCAACTTCTGACAAAGACATTATCTCTGTGGTTAAAACATAAAAAAAGACACAGAGACCGACAGGCGTGAATCTTCAAAACAGAGTGGAAGTTATGTGTGAACTCCGTCAGACAAGAGCTGTAAACTCTCCACAAGAAAGTAACTACAATATAGGGTCGTGGTTGCAGGGCCTAGTTTTTAAGGATGGATTATCAGATTTGACAACAAAAGCATGAGCAGCAAAGGACAAAATAGATAAATGGGACCTCATAAAAACTAAATACTTCTGTTCATTACAGGACCTTATCAAAAAGTGAAAAGACAACCTACAGATTGGGAGAAAATTTTTGGGAAACACATATCCCGTAAGGGTCTAATATCCAAAACATATGAAAAACTTCTACAACTTAACAACAAAAAGACAAACAACAATCAAAAAAAGGGCAAAGGACTTAAACAGACATTTCACCAAAAAGGATATTCAAATGGCCAACAAGCCCATGAAAGGATGTTCAGTGTCATTTGCCATTAGCTGCTGATAGGTGCTGGTGAGTAGATTTCGACTCATAGTGACCTCCTGCGACAGAATAGAACTGCCTCATAGGGTTTTCTAGGCTGTAATCTTTTTTTAATTGCTGTGCTTTAAGTGAAAGTTTACAACTCAAGTTAGTCTCTCATACAAAAATTTATACATACGTTGTTATGTGACCTAGTTACTCACCCTATACTGTGACAGCACACACCCCCTTTCCACCCGATTTCCTGTGTCCACTCAACCAGCTTCTGACCCTCTCTGCCTTCTCATCTCACCTCTAGACAGGAGCTGCCCATTTAGTGTCATGTATCTACTTGAGCTAAGAAGCACCCTCTTCACGAGTATCATTTTATGTCCCAAAGTCCAGTCTAATCTTTGTCTGAAGAGTTGACCTTGGGAATGGTTTTAGTTTTGGGCTAACAGAAGTCTGGGGGCCCTGTCTTCCAGGGTCCCTCCAGTCTCAATCGAACCGTTAAGTCTGGCCTTTTTACTAGAATTTGAATTCTGCACCCCACTTTTCTCCTGCTCCATCAGGGACTCTCTGTTGCGATCCCTGTCGGTGGTAGCTGGGCACCATCTAGTTCTTCTGATCTTATGCCGATGAAGTCTCTGGTTTATGTGGCCGTTTCTGTCTCTTGGGCTAATACTTTCCTTGTGTCCATGGTGTTCTTCACTCTCCTTTACTCCAAGTGGGTTGGGACCAATTGATACATCTTAGATGGCCGCTCACTAGCTTTTAAGACCCCAGATACCATGGGATGCAGAACATTTTCTTAATAAACTTTGTATGCCAATTGACCTAAATGTCCCCTGAAACCATGGTCCCCAGACCCCAGCCCCTGCTACTCTGTCCCTCGAAGTATTTGGTTGTATTCAGGAAACTTAGCTTTGGTTTAGTCCAGTTGTGCTGACTTCCTCTGGAGTGTGTGCTGTCCTTCCCTTCACCTAAGATAATTCTTGTCTACTTTCTAGTTAGTGAATACCCCTCTCCCTCCCTTCCCACCCTTGAAACCATCAAAGAATGTTTTCCTCTGTGTTTAAACCTTTTCTTGAGTTCTTATAATAGTGGTCTTATATAACATTTGTCCTTATGTGACTAAGTTCACTCAGCATAATACCTTCCAGATTCCTCCATGTTATAAAATGTTTCATGGATTCATCGTTGTTCTTTATTGTTGCATAGTATTCCATTGTGTGACTATACCATAATTTGTTCATCCCTTCATCCGTTGATGGGCACCTAGGTTGTTTCCATCTTTTTGCTATCGTGAACACTGCTGCAATGAACATGAGTGTGCATATATCTATTGTGTGATGGCTCTTAATTCTCTAGGATATATTCCAAGGAGCAGGATAGCTGGATCGTATGGTACTTCTATTTCTAGCTTTTTAAGGAAGTGCGAGATTGATTTCCAAAATGGTTGTGCCATTTTACAGTCTCACCAACAGTGTATAAGTGTTCCAGTCTCTCCACAACCTCTTCAACATTTATTATTCTGTGTTTTTTTGATTAATGCTAGTCTAGGTTGTAATCTTTACGGGAGCAGATCACCAGGCCTTTCTCTCTCGAAGCCACTGAGTGAATTCGAACCATCAGCCTTTCGGTTAGCAGTCTAGTGCTTAACCGCACTGAACCATCAGGACTCCCTTCATGAGCCATTAAACCCAACCAAACCCATTGCCCTCGAGTTGATTCTGACTCATAACGACCCTACAGGACAGAGTAGCACTGCCCCATAGGGTTTCCAGGGAGCACCTGGTAGATTCCAAGTGCCGACCTTTTGGTTAGCAGCAGAACTCTTTAACCACTATGCCACCAGGTTTCCTCATTAGCTATTAGAGAGATGCAAATCAAAACTACAATGAGATACCACTTCACTCCCACTAAAATGACAAAGATTAAAAAAACAGAAAACAACAAATGTTGCTGAGTACGTAAAAAAATGGGAAGCCTTATCCATTGCTGATGGGAATGCAAAATGGTACAGCCACTGGGAAAACAGTTTGGCAGTTCCTCAAAAAGTTACCATAGAACTACTATATGACCCAGCAATTCCACTCCTAGGTATACACCCCAGAGAGAGACGTGAAAACAACAATGCAAACAGACATACGTAGACTAATGCTCATTGCAGCACTATCGGCAATAGCCAAAAGGTGGGAACAACCTAAATGTCATCAACACGAGTGGATAAAAATGTGGTACATACAGCCATGAAGACAAACGAAGTCCTGCTATGTGCTTGAAAACACTGTGCTAAGTGTAATGTCAATCATAATAGGACAAATATTGTGTGATCTCACTTATATGAAATAACAAGAGGCAAATGTATGGAGAATAGAATTTATTAGTGGTTACCAGGGCAGGAGGGAAAGGGAAAAGAGGAGTCACTGTTTTAGCGAGAAGTGAGTTTTTGTTCATGGTGATGGGAAATTTGGCAACAATTACAGGTGACAGTTGCACAGCGTAATTAATGTAATTGATGTCACTAAGTTGTACACCTGAAAAAGGTTGAGTTGGCAAATGTTTTACTATATACGTTGACAACAATTTTTAAAAAGAAAAAAGAAAGTAACTGTAAGTGATGAATTGTTTAGGGAAGTAACTACAAGTAATTAGTAATTTAGGTTGTAACCACTCACAGCTTTTTTAACTCTACTGTGTGAACCCCGTGAATGTAAGGACCATGGCTCACTTATTTTTGTATTCCCATAGTCTAGTACAACATCTGGCACATAGTAAGCACTGAATAAATGTTTTTTAGTTCATCTGAATTTCTTCTCTTGTTCTTTAAATAGTGATCTAACTATCTCAGTTACATAACTATTTCAGTTAAGTGTCCCACACCGGGCTATTCATTACTGCCTCCTCCCAGATCTGCTCCTCTCAGTCTTCCCCCATCTCAAATAATGGCAATTCCATTCTTCTAGTTTCTCAAGCCGAAAATCTTAGTGCCAACGTTGACATCGTTCTCACACCCCTGGTCAGCTGGCAAATTCTGCTGGTTCTATTTTCAAAATATATCCAGAAATCAACCTCTTCCCACCATCTCCCCTCTTTCCAGCCTGGCTCAAGCCACCGTCTTCTCTTGCCTGCAGTATTTCAATAACTTCCAACTGGTCTCTCTGCTTCCATCCCTTTTTGCCTTCAGTCTATTCAACAAGGCAGCCCAAGTGATCCCATTAAAACTCAACTCAGATGGCGTCTTTTCTTCTGCTCAACACCTTCCAATGACTTTCGATCTCAGAATAAATGCCAAGTCCTCATAATGCCACAATTCCCCCGTTTGTTTGTTTTTTTACTTCATTGCCTTCTACTCTCCTGGCTCATTCTGTTCCTGTGACACTGGCCTTGGGCATGCCAGGTACAGCAACCTCCCCTCCACACCCCCAGCCTTTGTCTTTGTTCTTCTTCCCCCCATATACGCATGACTAGCCCTTCGTTTTCAAGTCGTGGCCCAAATGACATTGCCCCATTAAGGCCTCCTGTTCAAATCTGTCTAAAATTGCTATCTCCAACCCCAACACTCCCTTATCCTCCTTCCTAGTTTTTTTTTTTTAAGTACTGACTACCATCTAACTTTTATTTTATTTATCTTGTTTATCGTCTGTCTCCCCCACCCCATTCCACCCTGGAACTTAAGCTTCACGAGGACAGGGATTTCTGTGTCTTTTGTACATTTGCTGCACTTAGCATTTACTAGGTTATTAATAAATATTAACGGCATTTATCTAGGTATTGTGGACTCCATAATAAAAACGCATAAAGAATTCCAACCTAATACACACACATAGAGAAGGGCTTTTTCAATCTCGACGCTATTGCCATGATAGGAAAAAAAAAAAAAAAAAAACCACATCCGTTGCCGTCGAGTCGATTCCAACTCATAGCGAACCTACAGGACAGAGCAGAATTGCCCCATAGGGTTTTCAAGGAGCGGTTGGTGGATTTGAACTGCCGACTTTTTGGTTAGCAGCCGAGCTCTTAACCACTGCGCCACCAGGGCTCCACTGCCACGATAGCACCTACCATTTGTCTATCACTTACTTGGAGGCAGTTACTATGCAAATATTTCGAATTCTCCCAAGAACTCTGCAAGGTAGCATTCATATTAAGATGTGTCCAAGGTCAAACAGCTAGCAAAGGGCTGAGCTGAGATAAAAACAGACCATAATACGAATGCCAAGCACTCTGTGCCACTGGGGTTCCCCAGCCTCCTTTGCTTTGAAGCTGGACGCAGCAGGATTCTCACGTGTCCCCTTCAGATCAGCCCTCACCTAGCGTCTCCACCCCCGCCGGCTCTTCTTCTGACCGTGTCGGTCCTCTTTCACTGCTCTGAACGGTCTCTTTGACTGCTGCCTCTCTCACCTGCCAGGCACCCTCGAGTCTGCAGGCCCAGCTCCCCACAGCCATTCTCCGGTACTTACCTCAGAGCACCCCCTTCCTTCATCTCCGCCATCCTGCGTTCCTGGCTCAAGGCCGCAGACCGTCTGGGCTTCCTTCCGCAACCCACCCTTAGAGGTACCGAAGAGACCAGAGGGTGCTTCCCGACAAAGCAGGCACCCAGCTCCTTCACAAACCAGCCACATCAGGACCTCATGGCTAGCCGCCGACTTTCAAATTTAACGGTCCCGCGCGAACGACGCGGCTACTACGTCCCTCCGCTCCTCCGTGCATGCGCCTCTCGCCCAAGGCATTCTGGGGCTTGTAGTTTATTCCGGGCTTAGTCCACGCTGTCGCGGTGCATAATGGGAGCTGTAGTTTCTGGGAGTAGCTGAGTGCCCTGATGTCGCAGGCATTCAAACCAAAAAAAAAAAACAAACCCTTTGCCATCGAGTGGATTCCGACTCACGGGCATTGGGTGCTTTAAATTCTGGGCAAGTGCTCCCTGCGTCCTGGCTCTAGGGGCAAACCTCTGAGCAGAAGGAGGGACGCTTTAAGCACCAGAATTTCGTTGGTGTTTTGAGAATAGGGAGATGTCTTTGACCAGACTTTTCCGGGATGCCTGGCAAGGCTTCCATCATACCTTGCCGTCTATCCGGAGGCTCCCGCGTGACCAGAGTTCTCAGGCCGCTCTGACGCAGCTATTTCCTGCCCAGCCCTTGAATTAAGAAAAGCTAAATTCAGGATTGAATTATAGCTGGCTTCGTCCAGTGGTACCAAACGTGCAATCTTACGCAAGCCATATAACATCTTTCACCCTCAGTTTTCCTCATCGATAAAGTGGTCAGTGATGTTGTCTTGCTTTACCTTTCTCCACAGTCGACAGGCAGAAAACACAGCCATCCCACGGCTCCCAAGATTTTACTTCTTTTCTCCTTCAGGAGACCGACCTCGACTGACGCTGGCCTGTTAATTCCAATTCTCATTTCTGGGGGAAGGAACTGTGATGGCCTCAGTTGTGGCCAGAGGAGCAGAGTCTTTTGTACAAACCCAGGTACATGGGAGTTGTCCTCTATGACCATGGGGATGGTGGGAGAGGTGGCAGTTCCCGGAGGGGAACTGGGAGGGGGTGTCCACTACTTCCTGGCTCTTGGTTTCCAACATTCTCATCTTTGTTCATACTATGTAAGGTCTTCCTTCTTCTGCATCATCAGGACCCTTGATTGGTAGGGACTGGACATCCAACTCAAGCTGGCTTACTCAGGGAATCTACTGAGTCTTATAAATAAGCCCTCAGACAATGCGTAACCCAGGACTCCTGTAGTGGCATCAGGACCAGGCCTCTCTCCATTTCTCACCTCTGCTCTGCTTCAGGTTGGTTTATTGTCGTTTCCATGGGATACAGAGTCAGGCGTTAATCTTCCAGGTTCAAGCTCAGACTCAGGAGGCACCTGATTAGTTCCCTCCTCCTCCCTTAAACAATCATAAAGGTCGGTGGGTTCAGGGCTCTGATTATCCAGGCCCAAACTATGTGCTTCATCTTGGGGCTGAGAGAAAGGATGAGGTGGTTCACCACAGAAAATTCTGATGACTCTTTCCGTCCAAATCCTCTACATCCAGGAAGCCTACCTGGTTTATGGGGGATGTAATGTGTGGGATTCTCTCTCTCGCTCATATCTTCTCTGACCTTCTATTACCGACTTAAGTACCTCATTTCCTTTCTTCAGAGTATCCTGTTCACATCTACAACTTCTCTATTTCTCAGTTTTGATCACTCCCTGTAAACCATCTTGGAAGTATGGTATTTGCTCTTTTGATCCCAGTCTTTCTTGTAGCCTAGTCAGATATCCCCCCTACCCCCCACCCCCATAAATAGTGGTACAACAGAGAACATATTCAGGCTAAACCCGTCGCATGTTTTATCATGTATGACGGAAGATGCTGTGTGTTCTTATTTGGAACATGTGTTTTTGTTAGGCTGGACTGTGACTGGGCAGCCAGCACTGGGTCCAGAAAGTGGTTCAGGCTTCAGCAGCACTCACCAGTGGTAGAAAAAGTCAGGATGAAACTCATACACATTTATAGTCAAAAGAGGATTAAACAAAGACTCAGCCTGAGTGCCTACGATGTACCATGCATGAGCGGGACACAGATGTGAACAGTAAAATTAGACGTAGTTTGTGCTCTCAGGGAACTTCATGCTGATGGGAGAGACAGACAAAGCAACAGGCAATTTCAGTACCCGGCTGCCACAACCAGAGGTAGATAAGTACAGGGGTCATGGAGCACAGAGGAGAAGCTTCCAGGCCAGTCCTGGGGGAGAGGAGGTCAGGGACATTTTCCAGAGAAGATGGTGAACCTGACGGGCAAAGAGGACTTGGCGCAAACTATTAGCACAACCACACAAGTTGTGTAGTAGCTGAAGCTTAGCGTGTGTTCACCTCCTTTTTATTCACTACTGTCTCCATTGAGTTCCCTCACCCAGGCCTCATTTAGACCTCCATCAAAAGATACCTGTCCTGGACCACAACTATCATGGCCTCCACCAGACTGAGTCCAGTACAACTAGATGGTGCCTGGCTACCACCACTAACTGCTCTGACAAGGATCACCACAGAGGGTCCCAGACAGAGCTGGAGAAAAGTGTAGAACAAAATTCTAACTCACAAAAAAAGACCAGATTTACTGGCCTGACAGAGACTGGAGAAACCCTGAGAGTATGGCCCCCGGACACCCTTTTAACTCAGTAATGAAGTCACTCCTGAGGTTCACCATTCAGCCAAAGATTAAGACAGCTCTATAAAACAAAACGAGACTAATGGGGGCACAACAGCCCAGGGACAGGACAGCTGGTAACAGGGAACCCAAGGCTGAGAAGGGACAGTGTTGACGTGTCGTGAGGTTGTTAACCGTTGCCATAAAACAATATGTGTAATAACTGTTTAATGAGAAACTATTTGTTCTGCAAACCTTCATCTAAAGCACAATTTTAAAAAGTTAAAAAAAAAGATACCTGTCCTGTGTCCTACTCTATTTCACCTGTCACATTGAAAGCATGACCTAATCACACTAAGATGCTGATAACAGTTAGTGTTTCAATGCTGTGTCTTCCACATTATGTTCTAAGAAGCTAATAGATGTTTCAGGGGAGTAAAAGTTTGCTGCTCAAGTAAGTTTCAGAAATGCTGAGTTGAATGGGTATCTTGAGCCCTACTGGAGCAGTGGTTAAGAGCTACGGTGAGCTAGAGCTGCTAACCAAGAGGTTGGCAGTTCGAATCCACCAACCACTCCTTGGAAACCCTATGGGGCAGTTCTGCTCTGTCCTATAGGGTCACTATGAGTTCGAGTCACTCAACGGCAATGGGTTTATTTGGGTTCTTTTTTTACTAAAAGACTTCCTAAACCAAAAAAAACCTCACTGCCATCGAGTGGATTCTGACTCGTAGAGATTTCATGAGGTTTCCAAGGCTGTACATCTCTATGGAAGCAGACCGCCACACCTTTCTGCTGTGGAGTCACTGGTGGTTTGGAACCTCAGACCTCTCAGTTAGCCATTGATCACCACCAGGGCTCCTTTTTAATATATCAAAGTGCCTGTGAATCTCCAAGGGAGGGATGTATTAGTTTTATATTGCTGCTGTAACTAACTTCTACAAATTTAGTAACTTAACCCTTTCATGGACCATGGGTCATTGAGCCAGGGCTGGGGCTGCTAACTGCTTCCCAGCTGCATCTTACAGTAGCTGTTGCTAACAGGGTACTAGAGAACTTTTTCAACTCTGTGGAAACTCCTTTCTGGACTGTTTCTGCTTTTCTGGGTCTTCTAAAAACATTAGAAATAGGCTGACCCAGTAATATACAAGAAATACACAATCTGAGTGGGGAGATACTAGTTATCAACTTGCACCTGGCAGAAAAGAACTAAAAGGTCAGAATGGACCACAAGCTGAGAATAGAAACAGTCATAGAGCAGGGCTGTTAAGAAACAAAGTAAAATGTGGAGCTGAAGAAACTATGCAGCTAAGAGAAAATGCAAAGTTAGGCTGTCCTACCCCGGCATTATTCTGGGCAGAGTTTTAGTGTCAGGAAGTCCTTGGAGAATCTAGAGAGCTCCCAGGTGTTCAGCATTGTGCTCATTTCACACATGAAGTGATCTGAACTCCAAGTGAGAGGCACTGAGTGGCACTCGCTGAAGAACAGAGCAGAATCTAAATGCTGGCAGTGACTTACTGCAAGCCGAGTGCTCTGGGTGCCAACCTCAGCTCTAAATTAAGGAATTCAGCCAGTTTTAATGTTCAATAAACTTGCTTGTGGGTGCCACGTTCTGGAGGAGGAGCGAATTCGCGGTCCCACAGCACCATATGTAGTGACAGCTGCCGCTCTCTCCAACGTGATAGGCATGTCCCATGAACTAATGGGTGAGGCCCCCAGCAGAGAATTCTGTTAGTCTTTGAGGGAGAAGAATGGTGAAGACAGGCGCGTTTTGCACATGGGTTTGAGGGAACTGGAATGGGGAGGGTCATGTGATATCACCTTGGACAGTGACCCTTGGCCTAGCCCCAAGGCCTTGTGGAGAGGGCCTGCAAGCAGAGGCTGCAGGAGCCGGTTCTGGGTTCGGCATGCTGCCAGCCTCCAGCAGCACGGCCTTTATGCCCAGGGGCCAAGGGCATAGCCCAGCTCCAGCATCTCAAGGACTGGCCGTTCTGAGAGCATCAGGAGAACACCCCTGGGCCTGGACATCAGCATCCTCACAGCAGGGACAAGCAGAGGTGAGGTGTCCCCACTAGTCTCAGAGACAGAGGCCATCAGCCAGGGGGGTGGAGCAAGAAAGAAAGAGCACAGCAGAAGCCAGGTGGTAACTGCAAGGGATGGACCGATGAGGGAGCACAAGAGCAATACCCTGGAGAATGCCCAGACAACCTGGGGGAGGCTTTGGAAAGGGGGCTGATCCAGGGTCGCATGTCTGTGCAGATTATGCTGCAGTCAAGTGCCTGGCTGGATCGGGGAGCCTTTCCCTGCTTCGTCCTACCAGAGAGGAGCCTTAAAAAAAATCATCTTCCCAGAAGGGCTGCCTCGTTTGTTCTAACTCATACAAAGCACTGGTGTGGTAGCCATGGCCCTGGGACTGGAGCTCCCAGGGACTAAAGAGCCCGTGGGATTTTCATTACTGGTGTTCATGTGACTCCATAGTGGGGAGGCCT